ATGTGAATTACGGAGGTTGTAAATTAGATAAGAAAAGCACCTCTGGTACTTGCAAATTCCTAAGTAGTATGTTGATTTCCTGGTTTTCAAAGAAACAAAATATTATAGAATTAGCAACCACTGAGGCGAAATACATTTCGACCAGTAGTTGTTGTGTTCAAGTTTTATTGATGAAACAACTAATAGACTATGTAATTGATGTATGTTCTATTCCTATCAAGTATGACAATACTAGTGCTATTTGTCTCACAAAAAATCCCATCCAACATTCTAAAACCAAACATATTGAAATTAGACATTATTTCATTAGAGGTCATGTCTCAAAGGAATATATAGTTCTAGAGTATGTTGACATTTTGCATCAAGTAGCAGATATCTTTACAAAACCTTTAGATAAGGAAATATTTTGGGCACTTAGGAGAGAAGTAGGTTTGACAAACCTACCTTGACTTTGTGTTTAAATATTTTATGCACTTTTATGATTTTATGAAAAACATGCTAAATGATTTTTTTATGCCTACCATGCAATTAGTTAGGGGGAGTTTAGGATTTTTTGTTAAAATTGATAAAAGGTTCAAAGTATGCTTAACTATGTATTTGCTTGGTTGAACATGTTTTCCTTGTCTATTTAGAGTTACCTATACTAATTTTGATGCCCTAAAGTATGCATTATGACTTTTGACCAATTGGTGCATTTTAACTATAATTTCATGCAACTTTAGAATTCATAAGTGTTTTTGTTGTTAAACCTTGTATGAGTGAATGAATACTTATATCTAGGTCATAATTTTATGTCTCATATGGTCAATTATATTGAATGTGTATAATTTGTGATAAAAATGACATCTTAGGACTTGTTTGCTACAACTTTTTGACCATTTCGTGCATTTAGTATTGATACTATTTATATGGTACCGATATTGTTCTCCATCAGTATCGATGTTGTTCTTCAAGTACCGATACTGTTCTTATAGTATCGTTAGGAGTATCCATACTCTGTATCGATACTATCCAATTCAACGTACAAGTACCAATACTCATTTAAATAAACCGATACACGGTGTCTTGGACGTGCCATAATCCCCAAAATTTCCCAAAATTTCAAAATCCCTAATATTTTTTCCTCTGCCGCCGTCGACAACCCTTTCTTTCATTCTCAAAATTTCATATTTTCGACGGTTTTGGGTTGGAATCACTCCGTTATTTAGTTTCTTACCCTACAAACTTCATTAAAATTTTGCCAACATCACTTATTTACTCTCATTTCAACGATTCAAGGTAAAATCCCTTTTGAAACCCTAACTTTTATTTTTCAATTTTCTTTTGCAAATTAGTTTGAAATACATATTGGGCTTTAGTTTTCAGATGATTTCACACACTAACATGTTTGGATATACACAAATTTCACTATTTTTATTTATTTATTTCAAATTAATTTTTTTTATATTTTTAATCTTATTGTTAATTTCTTAGATATATTTTTTACATATACATATTTATATATGATAAGTCCGAAAAAAGGCTCATATAGGATCATATAGATGCATTTAGGAGCATATAGTTTCATGTAGTGGAAATATATTTTGTCGTGGCATTTTATTTTATAAACAGTGCTGTGTTATGGAAATGTGTTTTGTCTAATGATGTGCATGATTTGGGAGCAAGGATGAGCGAGAAGAATTGCCATGATATGCTGTGAATGATGAGCAGAATGCAAATGCCAACTTGGACGACATTTGGGAAGCGAAAAACACAAAGGATAATATTTTTAAGAGCCATCTGTCCTTGTTTTCACGTGCCTTCAGCTGCTAGACACCTAGGAGGGAACATCTACCACTTGGGTTGGCTGATCCTATCGGCATGTACGCCCAGCTGTAAGTCTTCCAGGATTGACCACTTACAGCCGGCTAGGAGGGGACCACTGCCACCACTGCATCAGCCCTCACGTAAAGGGAACCAACTCGGGACATCTTAGGAATTTTGAAACAAATTCATAGGTTTATTCCCCACTATAAATAGGAGATGAAGCCACCAGATGAGGCACTTTTGGTCTTTACTTTACACGTCGTTTGAGATTAATTTCAAAAGGTCTTTATTTTCTTCCATCAATCATTTTTGTCGTGGCCTTCCTCCATTAACAAGCTAGAGGGAGTGGCGAGCTAGGCGTCCGAGAGGAGCTAGCGAGCTAGGGCAGTTCGTGGTGGTTGAGGGGAGCTCCGGCAGTGCATGCCGAAGGCTTTTCCTCCACCCTTTTGTTGTTTGTATCACTTATCATATTTTGGTTGTATAGATTGAATGAACTTCATGCCTTGTTGCTTGGAATATTCAAACCCCACCATGAACTAGCCTTATTTGGTGGGAGTTCATTATGAATGCTTAATTTTTATTTTAATGGATGATTGTTTTTGTATGCTGTTATTTGTTTTTCTTATGATGCTTAATGCCTTAAGGTTGTATGAGCTATAAGAGTAGCCATTCCTTAGGAGAATACTTAGTGTTTGAGAGAATGAATAAGTAACAAATCTTTAGTGTTCAAGAGAAACTAAGGACGACCCACATAAGTAAGGGATTCTAGATAGTAACTAGACCTAATCCAACCTTAGACATAAAGCTAGGATTTTAATTGACTAAAACGAGTAGTGCTCAGTCGAGAGGTTAGATGCTAGTGTTGATGTTGAGTGGTATTGGCGTGACATATTCTATTGTTTTGAACCAATAAGATCCCTGCACCTGCTAACGCCGAGAGGTATTGTCATGACATCCTCAACCTGTCGAGTCCCTTGACTAGAGATAGCATAGGGCACCTTTTGTAAACTCTGTCGGGCAAGTAAGGCATAAAATTAAGACCATCCTGAAAAGATAAACTTAAGTTTCCTAAGTGACTCATATCATTCATTCCCATAGTAGCTTGTTGTGTGAGGAATATAAAGTCATTTTATTCAAAACCAGTGTTTACATTTTATTTTACTTTTACATTTTCAATTGATTCTAGTACACTTAATTTATTTTTTCCAAGAAATTTCCATCCATTTTGCCATGACATCCATATTTTCTCTCACAACACACCATCATTTTATTACCACCAATATCCATTTCATTTTTCCTCAATAATCTCATTAGTACATATCATCAGTAACTATGCTTAGATGAATTAGTTCTTTGTTGTGGTTAAACTTATAGATTTCCTCCAATCCTTATGGATACGATACTCACTCATTACTATATTACTTGTTCGATTGTGTATACTTGCACATATTTCGTGACCATATTTTGTACTCATAAATTGCATACAAGTTTTTGGCGTCGTTGCCGGGGATTCGCAACTGGAAGTTAATTAGTTTTGTCATAGCATTTTTATTTTACTTCTTTCATTTTTTGTATAGTTTTACTTGTTATTTTCCTTATCTTTTTCAAGTTTTCTTGGTGTATGACTAGAAGACACTCTGACGAACCATTAGAACCAATTGAACCTGAGATTGAAAGGCTTTTTTGGAAAAAAGACATACTCAACGTGCTCAAGCAAATATGTATCAAATTGGAAATCAAGGTATTGGTCAAGAGGAAGATCAGAATGCCAAGGTAATTTCGAATGTTGGGAGTACAGCCAGACTTTGTTCTATTTGAGATCATTTAAATCCTATTGGGATGAATTAAATATGGGAATTGTGGCACCCGAGATTCAGGTAGCCAATTTTGAGCTCAAAACTGTCATGTTCAATATGTTGAATTCTATAGGGCAGTTTGGGGGCATGCTTAGTGAATATGTCAGACATCATATTTGTAACTTCTTGGAGTTGTGTAATTATTTCCGATAACAAAGAGTGCACGAAGATGTATTAAAGTTAAATCTATTTCCATATTCTCTACATGACCAAGCAAGAGCTTCGTTGATTGATGTCCTAGTTGGCTCGATGGTGTTTTGGACTGATCTATGCAAAAAATATTTATGTGGTATAATCTGCTGAACATGAACACCCAAATGAGGAATGACATTACTTCTTTTCGTCAAGCTAATGACAAATCAATGTATGAATGATGGGATTAGTATAAAGGATTGCTTCGCAAATGCTCTAATAATGGTTTTCAAGATTGGACTCAAGTGGTAATGTTCTATAATGGAGTAAATGTGCCCACGAGGATGATGCTAGATGCCTTGCCAAAATGAGATATTGCTTGATAAATCACCTGTAGAGGCATTTGACATTCTAGATAAGATTTCCAACAATGATTATCAATTTCCATTTACAAGGTTTTTAATTAGGCGAAAAATGCATGGGGCATTCGAGTTAGATACTAAGGATTTTGTGTTTGCCGAACTTGCTGCCATCACCTATATGTTAAAGAATTTGTAACGACCAAGTACGGTGAAAGTAGTAAAGGCAGTCAATTCAACATGTTTATTATGTCATGGAAATCACCATGAGAGTGAGCGCTTGACCAATCAGGAATCCATCAACTATATAGGAAACTACAATCGAGGCAACAACATCCCCTATTCTAACACCTATAACCCTGGATAGCATCAACTTCCAAACTTCTTTTGGGAAATAAAGGAACCAATAATACTAATCAGCCCGTTAGGCCACATAATTTCAATGACTCCCAAGGTTTTCAAACGAATATGCCATGGCATAATTCTAACAAGGGAGTGACATCTTCATCCAACACAAGTTCTTTAGAGGCCACAATCCAAGATTTTATAACAACCATGAAGGCCATGCTGCAAAACCATGCTACCTCCATAAAAACCAAGAAGCTTTGCTTCAAAGCCACATTTAATCTCCGAGGGCTTTGGAAGGTCAAGTTGGTCAAATTGTCGCGGCATTACAATAACATCAACCAGGTCATCTTTAGAGTGACATTGAAGTCTCTAAACCTCATGGAAATGAGAAATATAGTGCATTCACTCTATGGAGTGGCACCCAAATCAATGTACAAGACAAGTTTGGGGAAAGACTGAAGAATAATTTACCCATGTAACATTGCAAGTTGAGCGTGAAATGCCAGAAGAGACACAAGTGGAGAAGGATAAGGATAATGGTTCATCTAGTAAAGCAACTGAGGGAGCAAACAAAAATGACACGATAAATGTTTTTCCCATCCCTTCATTAGAAGAAGTCAGACCCCCTCTACACCTCCCACAAAGACTAAAGAAGCATAACAATGACATTCAATTCAAGAAATTTGTCGACATTCTAGACCAACTCTACATCAATGTTCTTTTTCTTGAAGCTATAGAAAAAATGCTGACATATGCTAAATTTCTCGAAGAGATTGTTACCAAGATAAGAAAAGATGAGAAGTATGAGACCGTTGCCATGACAAAAGCATACTGCTCTGCCTTAAGTAAGCTACCACCATAGTGACAAGATCCAGGCAACTTTATCATTCCATGTTCGATATGAGAAAATTATGTTGGGAAGGCACTATATGACCTTGGCTCAAGCATGAACTTAATGCCTAGGTCAATCTTTGTGAAGTTTGGAATAGGAAATGCAAGACCCACCTCTGTTATCTTGCAATTAGTCGATCGCTCCAATGTTTGTCCCGAGGGGCGAGTCGAGGATGCCATTGTAAAGGTGGACAAATTTGTATTTCCAGTAGAATTTCTTATTATTGATTGTGAGGTTGATGCCACGACACCCATAATCTTAGGGATACCCTTCCTAGCTACTAGGCGTATTCTTATCAACTGTGAAAAAGGTGAGCTCACCATGAGAGTGGCAGACCAATGTATCACCATTAATGCTTTCCATACTATCAAGTACATGGATGAGTCTAAAGAATGTCAGAGCATTTTTGAAGTGGATTCATTGATATTAGGAGAAGTTGATCAAATTTGCCATGATAATTTCATTTCGCTGGAAAATTATGGGAGGCTCATTGAAGAAGAAAGTGCCGATGAGCTCAATGACTTTTCTTTGGAGGTGCAGGAGGCTAGATACCTCACAGCTAGCTCAGGTATACACTTTGAACCTCTTGATTTTGATTAGTTTGTTCCTTTTAAGTCCTAATTACAATATGTACCAACCCTAGAGTTAAAGAATTTTCCACAACATCTTAAATATGCTTATCTTGGTTGTAATGAAACTTTGCCTGTTATTATTTCCTCTGCCCTTACTACTAACCAAGAATTTAGTTTGTTAAGTGTTTTGTCACAGCACAAAAATCGTTAGGATAGAATATGGAGGATCTAAAGGGTATAAGTCCCACTATTTGCATGCAGAAGATCATGCTGGAAGAATACCATAGAAAATCTATAGAACCAAAAAGAAGACTAAACCCAATCATGAAAAAATTAGTGATGAAAGAAATCCTCAAGTGGCTTGATACTGGAGTGATTTACCCCATATCTAATAGTTCATGGGTGAGTCCTATCCAATGTGTGCCAAAGAAGGGAGGCACGACCGTAGTAACTAGCAAGGAAAATGAATTATTTCCAACATGCACTGTCACCAGGTGGAGGATATGCATTGACTATCGCAAGCTAAACAAAGCCACTAAGAATGCCCACTTCCCTTTGTCCTTCATCGATCAAATACTAGATCGATTGACAGGAAATGAATTTTACTGCTTCTTTAACAAATATTCGGGGTACAATCAAATTGCCATCGCACTAGACGACCATGAGAAGACTACGTTCATGTGTCCCTATGGCACCTATACTTTCAAGATGATGCCTTTTGGACTCTGTAATGCCCCGACAACTTTTGAACGCTGCATGCATGCTATCTTTTCTGACATGGTTGAGGACTTCCTAGATATCTTTATGGATGACTTCTCTGTTCCTGGAGATGACTTTGAGAAATGCCTTGGCAATTTGGTAAAGGTACTCAAGCGATGTGAGGAGACCAACCTCGTGCTAAATTGGGAAAAGTGTCACTTCACGGTGACTGAAGCCATTATGCTAGACCATAAGATCTCTCATAAGGGCATTAAAGTAGACAAAGCAAAAATCGAGGTGATCGAGAAGCTACCCCTACCAACATTTGTAAAGGGCAATAGGAGTTTTCTTGGATATGATGGGTTCAATAGAAGATTCATTAAGGACTTCTCCACGATATCCAAGCCCTTATACACCCTGTTTGAACAAAATCAACCCTTTGTGTTGGATAAAAATTACCATGGTGCATTCACCGAGCTGAAAGAAAGACTTATCGCTTCACCCATCGTGGTTCCCCCGATTGGACGTCATCATTTGGGCAACACCGAGGAATTTTTTTCCATGTTATATATTATTCTAGCCGAACCTTGAATAAAGCACAAATGAATTACACAACCACTAAGAAGAAATTACTTGTCGTGGTATTTGTATTTGACAAGTTTAAGTCATACTTGATAAAGTTATTGTTCACACTGATCATTCTGCTATAAAATACTTAGTGAACAAGAAAGATGCCAAGTCTAGACTCATTAGGTGGATATTAATATTGCAAGAATTTGACTTAGAGGTGATAGATAGAAAATGTACTGAGAACCAGGTTGCAGATCATTATCTAGGCTAGAGAACAATTCTGAATGCCATGATATTTTAGATATTTAAGAAGAATTCCCTGATGAGAAAACTTTATATGCCATGAAAATTCTATGGTACGCTGAAATAGTTAATTTTCTTGTTAGTGGTATTTTTCTTTATGAATTGAACAGCTAGGGAAAAAAAGTTCAAGCATAATGCCAAGTTTTATTTTTTGGACGAGCCATATTTATTCAAACAATGCACAAACTAGATTATTCGACTTTGTGTCTCTAAGGAGGAGCAAAGAGACATTCTACACCATTGCACATAACCCACTGTGGAGGTGCGAAGAATGCTGCTAAGGTCCTCCAATCAAGCTTTTATTGGCCTTCACTATTCAAAGATACTCATGAGTTTTTTAAAGTGTGTGATAGATGCTAGCGCACTGAGAACATTTCCAGATGATATGAAATGACATTGTAAAATATTCTGGAGTTTGAGCTCTTTGATGTTTGGGGCATTGACTTCATGGGACAGTTCTCATCTTCTTTTGGATACTTGTATATCTTGTTTGCTATAGACTACAAATCAAAGTGGGTTGAAGCAATTGCCAGACCAAATAATGACTCTAAAACCGTGCTCAAGTTCCTTCACAATAACATCTTCACCCAATTTGGAGCACTTAGAGCCATCATCAGTGATGAAGGAACTCATTTTGATAACAAGCTAATTGTCAATGTATTACAAAGATATGGAGTACGAAACAAAACTTCCACGACACCACAAACCAATGGGCAAGCTGAAGTGTCCAACTGGGAGATTAAGAAAATCCTAGAGAAGGCGGTTAATCTTAGAAGGAATGACTGGTTCCCAAAGCTTGACGAAATGCTCTGGGCTTATCAGACAACATTCAAAACACCTTTGGAATGTCACCTTTAAAGATGGTATATGGAAAAGCATGCCACCTACTTGTGGAGTTAGAGCATAAGGCATATTGGGCTATCAAGAAGCTTAACATTGACGCGCAACTAGCTGGGGAGAAATGATTACTCAATATGAATGAAATAGAAGAATTTAAAGCTTAAGCATATGAAAATGACAAGCTTTACAAAGAAAAAACAAAGAAGTGGCATGATTGAATGCTTTTGCCAAGGCATTTTCATATTGGCCAGCAAATGCTCCTTTTCAACTTGAGGCTGAAACTCTTTCCCGGCAAACTAAAGTTACGATGGTCTGGACCCTTTGAAGTACACCATGTCTACCTTCATGGCATTGTTGATATCAAGAATGCAGATGATGGGACCATTTTCAAAGTTAACAGTCAGTGTTTGAAAGCTTATTAAGGAGCTCCGTCCTTGATTGATGAATCGACACTCTTCTTGCAAGATGCATGAATCTGTAGAGCATTTTGAAGATGCCATGACATATCGGATTTACTCCTGTACATAAATAAATGTTTATTTTATTTTATTTTATTTTATTTTATATTCAATTATTTTTTGATTAATTAATCCATTTTGAATTATTTAGGGACCCACGTGGAAAACATGTGAGAACCGTATGGTTAAAGGCATAGGAGTGTGCTGCACCAAGATAAAAAGAGGAGGGAAAATCTTCATTTTTGACTTTTTGAAATTATTTTGGGTTTACTTTTTCATTTAATTCTTTTTTCTTTTTCCCCAACCCACACATCATTCATCCGTTAAATAACCCCTCTTTTCTATTTTTATTTTATTTTTATCTTTTTACCCACTCACTTTAACTTCATCTTTTCTTCTTCCTCCCTCCTTTAAACCGCACGCCATAGCTAAAAAGATTTGAGATTTTTCATTTTTTTCTTTCTTTTATTAACCAAACAATGGTGCGCTCACGTCCTCCAGGCATGGCTTCATCGTCTCCACCGGAGCGACCCACTGTAAAAATAGCGAAAAATTTAAAACTTTTTAAATTACATATAAACTAATAAAATCAGTGAAAAATAGCTTACCGGGTTCGAATTTGGTGAAACAGACTTCGGATTCGGATTCAGGACGTCAAAAGCATAAAATATGTCTTTTCGGAAATTTGAAATTTTTGGTCAAAATCAAAGTCAAGGGGGTTGACTGCCAATTTCGAGGTATTCGGGTCTGAATTTTGAAAAACGGACTGCGGAATCGGATTTGGAACGTCGAAAAATGTCAGGATAGGTATACTCGGTCAAAGTCAAAGGTCGTTTAATGCCCGGTCAAAGCTGGTCAAAGCTTTAGTCAACAGTGGTCAACGGTCAACGGGTCGGGTCAACGGGTCGGGTCGGGTCGGGTTATGACCGGTCAAACCGGTCATTTAAACCATCCCCACGTGCAGTGGCGGCGAGTGGGGTCGCGTGGGTAATGTTCTTGTAACCCCCAGACCGATGCGAATAACCCGATCCAAACCGGGGTGTCACATTTGGGCCACGGAGCGACCCACTGTAAAAATAGCAAAAATTTAAAACTTTTTAAATTACATGTAAACTAATAAAATCAGTGAAAATAGCTTACCAGGTTCGAATTTGGAGAAACGGACTTCGGATTCGGATTCAAGACGTCGAAAGCATAAAATATGACTTTTTGAAAATTTGAAATTTTCGGTCAAAATCAAAGTCATTTGACTGCCAATTTCGAGGTCTTCGGGTCTGAGTTTTGAAAAACGGAATGCGGAATCGATTTGGAACGTCGAAAAATGTCAGGATAGGTATACTCGGTCAAAGTCAAAGGTCGTTTAATGCCTGGTCAAAGCCAGTCAAAGTTTTGGTCAACGTCGGTCAACTGTCAACGGGTCGGGTCAACGAGGTTGGATCGGGTCAACGGGTTGGGTCAACGGGTCGGGTCGGTCGGGTTATAACCGGTCAAATCGGTCAACTATGCACCAAAACCGGTCAAACCGGTCATTTGGACCATCCCCACGCGCAGTGGGGGCGCATGGGGGCGCGTGGGTATTGTTCCGGCAGCGTAAAATTCTTAGAATATTTTCTAAAAATTAGTTTGAGCGATTTCGAGATACTTACAAAGCTCGGTTCAAATTTTTGAACGGTGGAGAGCTCGATTTCAACAAATCGGAAACTTTGACCGCTTCACCTCCTCACGCGCCGCCGTCGACGGAGACCAAGGATGACACTGGCAGACTCGAAACGATGCAACGAACACGATGATGCGGGAGGTGTCGTAAATGGATGACCCAATCGTCGTCAATCAATGAAAAACCAACTAAAATCGAGTTATTACCGATGATACTTCCGACTGAAATTAACGACGAACGGCGACGATTCAAGACGAAAGATTTGTGGGGTTTTGTTCCTCGGTTAACAACGAACACGATGGTGGTTTCGGCTCGTCAATCGGAGGTTGGACGGCGAGTAGATCGGAGTTTAAAGTTGGTTGAGTGGAGAGGGAAAACTGGAAAATTTCCATAAACATACGGGAGATTAGGGGTTTATAACATCTCATAATTAAAAATGGCTAAACCAAGAGTTTAGCCACTGAACTTCCTGCACTTCATAAAACGGTCTGCTAACTTTAAAATTTTGCAATTTAACCCACTGTTTCTTTCAAAATACCAAATTAATTCTACCACTTTATAATTTCTTAATTTTAGCCCCTAAATTGGGGTATTACATCTAGAGGTTAAGGGTATAGACAATGAGAAAGATACTGTTGATTCCCCTTATATGGTTGGTCATAGTGTCGATATCCTAGACATTCATGAGCGCTTATTGCACCTTATTATCACTTAGTGTTTTCGACCATCAGGTGGTAAATTATCCACCCTTCGTACCGTTGATATTTGGTGGCTCCATTGCTTTCAACATCATAAACAAATAAATTTTCCCCAAATTATATTTGGTGAGCTTGTCGATGTCATCAACAACTTCCAAACTAAGAAATTTGATACCCTTGTTTATGGTTGTCATCTTAGCCACATCTTTCTCAAAGTCGGCATCAATGTCTCTCTAGATCCCACTATTCCCCTATCCTCCTACATTGATATTAAATCTCTTCATAAATAGGGATAGCAAAAGCTTGGGACGACGTGGACAAGAAAAGAGAAGCAATATGCTCTACCTTTGGTGCACCTTAACCTCATGACGATGATCCGATACGAGATGTCGATCATTCGGTGAACCATGTTCCTGGTGATCCCCCTAGAGTTGGCGGTGATGATGCAAATGCAATTCTACCTTACTTCTAGACGTTCCTGGAGATGATGGACACGAGGTTTACTACCATATAGTCTTACTTCATAGCTTTGGGGACTTAGATTTATGAGATTAGTGCTCGACATTTATCTTTGGAGGTGACATATATGGACTCCCAACGCGATATTCATGCTAGATTCAACACAGTGACGAATAGGATTAACGCTATTTTTCGAGACTTTGCTTCCTCCCGTGCTCCATCTTCGGATCATGATCCTCCTTAGTTGGACGCTTGATCGCTTTTCCTTGATTGACTGTTTATTTTGTGCTCATGTTCGAATTGCATTTAGACTTTGTTGGATGTTTTTATCTTTTAGTTTTGGATGTTCATTTTCGTACTTTTGTTATGACTTTGGATTTTTATGCACCTGGATGCTTATATTTGGTATTTATGTCATTTTGAATGCTTGATATGGTTTCTAATATTTGATATTTGAGACATGTTATGTTTTATGACCATGTTTATTGCTTTGAGAATACTATTTTTGTTGACTAACCTCGTTTGGTATGTTTGATCTTCACATCTTCTATTTATATCTTGTTTTTTAAACTTTTTGATTTAACAAAAAAAAATCGGGAGAAATGTTGGAGTAAAGAGGAGTAGTTATTTTCAATAAAATCTTAAAAATCTAATTGTTTTTAAAAAAAAGTTTTGTTATACCAAAAAAGGAAGATTGTTGAACCATGCATTGAGATCTTGATATACCAAATTAAAGTAAATAAGTTTAAAGAAATTTTAAGGTTATTTTCAATTCGGTTTTTAAACTTATATTCGATTCAACCATTCGAATATATAAATTCTTTTTAAAGTAAAAAACTTCATAATTACTTATTACTCTTTTGAAAAATTCAAGTTATATATTGGAAATTTTTTTCAAACACTTTTGCAAAGGGTTTCGGATCTTAATCGAGTCAAAAATCATTTTTTAACAACAATATCGATACTATTCATGTTGTACCGATATAGGTATTGATACTAATGTGGAAAAATACTCTAAGTGGAGTATCGATACACCTCTCTCACCAATAGCTAGATTTTTTTATTTAATACAAGTAATACTGATACTCCAAGCCTCTGGGAAACATTTATGGCTGGGAAATTCTTTCCAACGGCTCTATTAACTCCCACAACAAGCCAAACGACTATAATTGAATGAAGGGGTATAAAAACAAGATTCAAGTCATATGTGAAGACAATAAATCATAGAGAAAGCCAAAGCAATCATATTGAGCCAAAATCAAGTCAATATTCTTCAATATTCTTTTTTGCTTTCAAAGAAACACTTTTGTACTCATTTGTTTCATTTTGTTGAGTGGTCTTCTTTGTTCTTGAATTGTGCAAACACATTCCTAGTGAGGTTTTCTAAGTTTTCTATTTGTAATTTCTTTTTAGGAAGGGTTGTACACTTGAAACTTTGGGGTATAAAGCTAGGTGTGTTGTAAGGTTACACCTTGTCCAAACATGTTTGAGCAAATTAGTGAATTTGTTGAAATCCTTAGTGTGGAAGCTAAGGTAGTGGATGTAAACTTCATTGAGGAAGTTGAACCACTCTAAAGTTGTTTTTGTCAATTTTCTTCATTTTCTTGCAAAAAAGTTCCATCAAATTTTATTTGTCAATTCACCCCCTCTTGGCTATGTCATTGGTTCAATTGACTTAACATGTAGACACTCATTTTTATCGGAGATTTAAATTTAGATTTTTATTTTTGTATCTTTTTCATTTTT